TCCGCACCCCACAGCAGGCATCACCCTCCTGCTGCCCCTGGCCCTACTGCTGGCTGCCGCCTCCCAGCCCCCCGGGGGGGACGGCCCGAAGGACCAGGGGGACGCGGACCCCCCACGCTGCCCCGGCCCTTGCGCCTGCAGCTTGGACGACTACAGCGAGGAGCTCAACATCTTCTGCAGTGCCCGCAACCTGACGCACCTGCCCGAGGACGTGCCCCCCAACGCCAAAGCCCTGTGGCTGGACGGCAATAACTTCACCCTGCTGCCAGCCGCTGCCTTCAGGAACCTCTCAGCCCTGGACTTTCTGGACCTGCAGAGCAGCCAGCTGGCCACTGTGGAGCAGCACGCCTTCCACGGGCTGCGGAGCCTCTACTACCTCCACCTCGAACGCAACCGCCTCAAGCACTTGGCTCCCCACACCTTCCTGCACACCCAGAACCTCGTCTCCCTCAGCCTCAACAACAACTACTTCAGTAAGGTGGAGGAAGGGCTGTTTGCTGGGCTCTCCAACCTCTGGTATCTGAACCTGGGCTGGAACTCGCTCGTGGTCCTGCCTGACAAGGTCTTCCATGACTTGCCCAACCTGAGGGAGCTGATCTTGGCTGGGAACAAGCTCCCTTACCTCCAGCACCAGCTCTTCTGCAGCCTTACCGAGCTGAAGGAGCTGGATCTGAGTGGGAACGCGCTCAAAGGCATCAAGATCAACATCTTTGTCAAGCTGCAGAAGCTGCAGAAGCTGTACCTGAACCACAACCAGATCAATGCCATCGCACCCCGTGCCTTCATGGGCATGAAGTCCCTCCGGTGGCTGGATCTCTCCCACAACCGGCTCGTCTCACTGTTCGAGGACACGTTTCTGGGCCTCCTGAGCCTGCACGTCCTACGCTTGTCCACCAACTCCATCACCAACCTGAGGCCCAGGACTTTCAAAGACCTCCAGTTCCTGGAGGAGCTGCAGCTGGGGCACAACAGGATCCGGAGCCTGGCAGAAAGGACCTTCGATGGGTTGGGCCAGCTGGAGGTCCTCAGCCTCAACAACAACCAGCTACAAGACATCAGGGTTG